CTACGATGCAAACGTACACAATGGCGAGTTTCAACGAGTCGTAAAGTTGTAATGGCATTTTTCCGATAACACGAATTGTAATGGCGTTTCTCAAAAGTCAGAAAATTGTAATGGCCTATTTCCAAATAACCCAAAATCATTTGGATAAAATCATGAAGTACATTGACCACTTGGCTTTTGTGTTTAAGCAAGAAAACCCAGGTTCCCCTACTATGGTCATCTACCAAGGTTAGAAAGTATGGTGTGTTTGACATGTTTGGCACATTATAGGGACCCCATATATCAATATGTACCAAATCGAATAACGAAGCAGCATGAGAATTACTATTAGGAAAAGATAATCTCGGTTGTTTGGATTTGTGACAAATAGTACACTGAGAAGATTGAAATTTTGATTCATCATTACAAAAGTTCTTAAGGAATTCCAAATGTTGAAGAACAGAAGTAGAAGCATGTCCTAACCTCTGGTGCCAAATGGCCAAAGTTTCTTTGCTAGTTAGAGAAGCTAAAGTACATACTGATTTAAGAAAATGAGATGGGTGAAGTGTGTAAAGTCTTCCCACTGCCTTCCCAGTTGCTATAAGAGCCTTAGTCTCCAGGTCCTGCAAAGCAAAGTGTGTGGGAAAAAATAGACATAGCACATTAGAATCTTGTGCTAACTGAGAAATAGAAATCAAGTTGTACTTGAAATCAGGAATGTACAATACATTGATCAAAGTAAACTGAGCATTCAACTCAACAGTACCAGATTGGTTGACAGTTAGTTTGGTGCCATCAGGAAGAAGGATATTTATAGGTTCTATTCTCTGAAGTTTTACAAAGAAGTTTGGATTATTGCTCATGTGTCTACTGGCACCCGTATCCAGTATCCATGAACCTCCATCTAACTGCTCAATACTAGTCAAAGCAAATGAATGAGTACCTTGCAATGGAGTACCTGCATAGTCCACAAAATGGGCTTGAGTATCTCCTCCAGTTGATGAAAGATACTTTGCTATCTCTTGCTTGATTATATTTGAGATATCATGAAGTGGCAGCTCATTCTTCACTTCTGCTTTTCCAATTCCCTTCACCATATTCTCTTGCTTTATGAAATCAGCTGAGTTAACTGAGGCCTTTCCACTTATCTTTGCCCTGTCTTCTTTCAGAGTTTTGAACCAATCCGGGTAGCCATGTAACTTAAAGCATGATTGTGCTAGATGACCATTTCTTTGGCAATACTCACATTTCAATTTGGCCTTTTCCTCCTTTGTCAATCTGCCTGCCCCCCTTCCTCTTCCTCCTTGCCAAATATTATTCAGATTGTTACTACTTCCAGCTCCCCTTCCATTAAAACCAGTCTTAGTGAACATAGCACTTTGCTCACGGTTATCAGGAAACAACTGATGAACTTGCCTCTGCTTTTCTACTCGTTGAACCATTGAGTAAGCCTTATTTAATGAAGGTAAAGGATCCAGCATCAGGATTTGACTCATTACACCCTCATAGCTTTCATTGAGTCCCATTAGAAACTGCAACAACTTCCTATCTTCCTCCATTTTTACCATTTGCAGTGAACCACATTTACATGTAGGTAAGGGAACCAGATTCGCATATTCATCCCAAAGTCGTTTGAGTTTAGTAAAATAACCTGCAATCGAGTCATTTTCCTGTCTGATATTGGAGATTTCCTTTTGCAATTGATACAGAAGAGGACCGTTACTTTCTCCGAACCTTTGCTCAATCTCTTCCCACAAGGCTTGTGCTGAATCTGCGTACAAAAATGCATCTACCAGATCTTTACTCAGAGAATTGAGGATCCAGCTATAGATCGTGTAGTCGACCTTCCTCCATTGATCGAACTCAGGTGCATCTAGGGCTGGTTGCTTTATGCGACCATCGACGAATCCGAGCTTCGTCTTTGCTCCCAACGCGATCGTCATCGCTCGTCGCCATGATTGGTAATTAGAACCAGTCAGAGGAGCTGAGACCAGCGCCATGCCTGGATGATCGGAGCTGTGCAGCGAGTACGAATCATCCGCCCTCGTCATCATGCTCGAGCTTCCTTCGTTTTTAGTGGTGTTGCGACCTCCAGTATTCCACGCCGAGCTCTGCGCCATTTTTGATCAATATTCCTTCTCTGATACCATGTTTAATGGTAGATCGAACCAACAGGAGAGATCGAAGCCATGGATAAGCAAAAGGTGATTTTCTCAGTAAGCAAAAGAAGTACAGAGTGTATTCAGTAAAAATGATTTTCCTTGCCTCCAATTGCAAGAAAAACAGGAATTATATACAACAGTCCAAGAGGACTAAACTACCCCTGAATGAAATGATCAAAAGCACTACAACTCTCAATAAGGATTCTAGAGAGAGAACGAGGGTTTTTGCAGTGTGAAGCGATTGGAAATGGCGAGTGAGAATTAGGGAAATTAAAAATGAGGGGTATATATTTTTAGACCTTATTTAACTGGTTGCACCCACTAGACCCATCTCTGTTCTGTTCTTCAGGATCTTCATACCAATTGTAGGTCCTCAGAGTAAAAAAGGGATCATTTCGACCATTTTGGCTGTCGATGTAGCAAAATTTGGATAGTAGACTGACATTTCTATTTTTGGTGATTTTTTCTTAAGAAAATGGAGCCAAAAATAGTGAAGAATCTGTTTACTTTGGAACAAAGTAACTGTTCATCTCTTAACAAAACCAAGCTTCATCAATGGACACATTTTGGCTATTTTTTTTAAGAGGAATTTGCACCATGTGCCAACAGTTCTTATTTTTATTACACTTATATGCCCTTTATATTTTTATTTATAAAATTACTTAATCAAGCCAAAAATATTTCAGTTTTAACTGAATCATTATTACCTTACTAGTATCTTCACCCGTGCGATGCACGGAACATATTTATTAAAATATTTTAATAAATACATTAATATATATATATATATATATATATATATCATAAAAAGTAAATGACAAATAAATAACATTATTATTGAATAGATAGTAAAAGTACAATATTATATGGTATTACAAATTATGAAAAACTTCTTGATAGACAACATTTTTAGTAGTTTTCTTTTCCCCATTGTCGTCCCCCTACATATTAATATCTTAAATCCTGTGGATTAGTGACTCGAGACACATCAACGTATAA